GTGCTCTTCCGATCTCTTACAATTAGTTTTAATTTTTGAGAAAAGAAAAAAAATCGACATTGAGATATTGATAAATTGATATGCAGACAAGATTTATTTATATATTTGATAGAATTGTTATCACGTCAGATTGGATTATATGATGTTTTTATTTTCGTTGACAGGAATTGTTTAATACAATATATTTAATAAGTAATAGATATTTTGAACTGGACCATAATGATTACGTACATTAAAATTGCCATGCAGAACTGAAAGAAAAACATATGAATTAATTCTTTTATTGCAATTTTATTTTTCATAGAATAAAAATTTTGTTCTAATAATGTCACCGCAAAGTAATTTTGAAACTGGGTACACGACACGTTCTCTTTTTCATGAAAGAAATATTATAACAATACAAAACATAACATTGAATTGACTATTTTATAGAAAAATAAGTAAACGCAAAAAAATTTTAACCTTTCGAAGAAATTCATGACCAAAATAGAAGAGACCCATTCCAGTGAATTTCAACGGATGATGCATTGTTTGTAGAGTAAACTGATAAATCTGTATATGGACTGTTGTTTAGTTTTAAATAATTTCTTACTACTTCTTGCTAAAATATTGTTTACCTCCTTCCAAATATCAGCGTATCGATGGATATGCGACAATTGATGAAATAATTTACCAATTTTGTTAGCCTGAAATTTGGAATTTATTATGGAATGTATATCTAAATAATAATTGAATAGAGATTTCGGGGCGCATTTTACCTTACCTTTTGCGTGACATTGTCGCAGGTGTAGTTTACGATGTAGATTCTTACCAATAATACAAAAACCCAAAAAATGATACTAATCCAATCATATATTGAGTAAATTTTTTCCCAATGTTCTTGTATTAGCATCCAATATAAATAATAGAATAGTGATGTTAAATATGATAGAAAGAATGCCATTTCAAAAGTCATTTGTACTGCAAATATCAAGTTTAACTCGCGAGCAAGGCGACATAATTCTAAATGAAGTTGCCTGCAAAAAATATACCTTTGTAGAAATGTAAAAAAATTATATATATTAAACGTACACAAACCACAATTTTTAGAATTAAAATAATTTTTATTATTTTTATGATTTCCATAGAAATCTATATCTGTTAATTAAATTTTATTATTAAGTAAGAATCGATAACCTAACGAAACATATGCAAGTATTGATTTACATTGACGTCCATAATGTTAGCTTGTAATTAGTATATAAAGTGTATTGATGAAAAGCGATCATAGATCTCTTCCATGTACATCTCAGCTCATGATCCTCTTTTTTTAGTAAGCATCGCATATGCTCATTTACTTTATCAAATCTAGTCCCAATGTACCTGTATAAATAATCTCTCAAAAATTGTAAAAGATATGATAGAATCTTTTATTTATATATAAATCTGACGTAGGTTCTTACATATAAATATGTATTATATTTTTACTTAAATAATTTAATTCGTATCGTTATATTATGACCAAATAGTATAATATCAGTTATTTATTGATTTAAAAATACCAAAAATTGTCATTTTGATAATTAAAATATTTTATTAATTACGAGAGAATTATAATTTTAAATAGATTTATGGAAACGTAATACTAAATTACAATTACATTATATAAAGCGCTCATGCATGTTGACGATCATGTGTGTATATGTACCTATATACACATAGTATGTTATTTATGTATCTATACAAACCATAAAAAGAAGGCAAATAACATATCCATAAACGCATTGATATGAAATCCATGATTTACTACGTGAGCTATATATAATCCGAAAGAAGCAGTTTCTTCCAAGCTCAACCACCATATCGTATCGATAAAATTCATTGCAAGGCTGTACACAATCCAGCAGATTATTATTTGTTTTGATCTCATATGTAGCTTTTCATACATTTTTGGAGTACCTAATTTCTCCAAAGTATCATCCACAACAGCAAGCTTCTTCATACTTATCTCAAATCTCTAAAACAACATTAAGTGATAATGTAAAACGTATTTGAAACAAACATTATGATTTTATAACTTAAGATGTAACTATTGAAACAGGCTTTTAAAGAAAATTGTTACAGTTGTAAATTTGAACGTATTGTTATATTAAAAATACCTTTTGATGATAGAAACTCATAACTATGCATATAAATGAAAGCAAAAAGTAAGACTCTTCAGAGATTTTCAAAACAGCCGAATCAATTAACGTTTTCCGTGTAAAATGGGTTGACAGATGGAAAAAAAGATATACATAAGCGAACCAGATTATCAAAGAACATAGAATATTTAAGTGTACAATCCATTTATTTAATTGTTTTCTGGGGTAAAAGCCTAAACCCATTATAAAGCACGTAAGAAAGAAAGGACGCAATATCTGTTGAAGTGTGACCACCATAATTGTTAGTATTACAGACTATTCACATTTACTTGTATCAAGTAAGTTTAAGTTCACTCGCCAAGGATATCGCGATTGTGTCGACTTGCAACGATAGTGGATCTGCGTATAAGATGTATGGTCATTATTATATGTTTGTTCATTAGCGCTCACGTCTATTAAAATAATGGATTCTATTATTTGCTGGACGAAAGAAATGACTCAGCATTGAATTTTTATGTTACAGATTATTGACATTATTAAGTTATTTTGATAATTAATTTTGTTAATTTTGTTTTATTTAACATCAATCTAATTACAAGCCACAAGAAAATCAAAAGACGCAGGCCGATCTCATTGCCTGTATATGGTCGCGTATTGTGAAACACCACGGTATCTCTTGATTTTACTGACAACTGCAAATTGGCATTAATTTTTTATATCAAACCTTTTTTTATACGGAGGACGTGAGTTCTTGGCGTCATTTTTCTACCTTTTTTATAAACGTAATTTTTTTTGTACTAATATTACATTATTTTTCTAGTAACTTTTACCATATATAAATGAGTAAGAATGTGTTGGACTGTGGTGAAACGTATCGGGAACGATTTGGGTTGTATTAAGATGTTTAGTATAGAGGTGAAGGGGGTGAGGGGGGGGGGGTGAGGGAAATAAGGATGGAAATGCATGTGGGTGGATGAGGATGGAGACTGTATCGGGATCATATCGGGACGTGTCGAAATGTAAGTATCGCTGTCTTTGCAGTGAATAGGAGGGTGATGGAAAGGGTTTGCGTATAGGTGAATAGAGTATAGATGGAGATATGTAAGTATAGGTATGGAGAGATTTGTTTATGCGTATGCGAATATTAAAGGTTTTTCACTTTCCAAAAAATTTACAATCGGAGAACGGGACGATGACGTTACTGAAATATAATTTATCTCATTTTTATATAAAAATTAAAAATCTCTTAACCCATCATAGTCACACTGGGTCAAAATGACCCGAGCATAATCTTTTATGCTATAGATTTCAGAATCTTTCCTGGCTTAGGAAGGGCGCGCACCCGCCATCTACTGGTTGTTTATTTGAATATTAATAATACTAATTATTTTTGCAGTTATTATAATTTTGTTTAACAGAAGAATAGTTATGTCAGTAATAAATAGGCTTTTATCCCAATTTAATATCTTTCTACATGTAAAAAACAACCATCTTCAATCTTCAAAATAAATACCTTTTTTGAAACACGTGTAATCATACTATTTTTTTTTAAGTACATCATCTTAAGAGTATTAAGCTAAAATTTTATTTAAAAATATTAAAAATTAAAAAAGTTATTAGTTATTAGTTATTAGTTATTAGTTTTTAGTTAAAAAACTCATTTTTTTGAAGTTAACATGTTTACGATTTTTTTTTAATGTTAAGATTAAATTTTTTACTAAAACGCTATTGTTCCATTTTTTTAAAGGTTGAAATTATATACTGTTTTTGAAGTTAATGAAACTAATATTGCTGATTTGATAACACTTTAAAAACGATTTGGGTCATCTTGTCCCAGTATGACCATCGTGTAACTGTTATGAAGTGTGACCATGAAGAATTAATATTCAAAGTAGAAAAAAATTAAAGATTTCCATTACATAATATGATTCCAAAAAATCAACTAAGTCTATTAAAAATTTCATCAATTTAGTCGTTTTTTTTAAATATTATGATATCGTGTCTTCGCTCAACTTGACAGTTCGAGTTAATTAAAATATCCGGATCGATCTTACTGCTCGTATACAGGTGCGTATACTTGATTTAAGACTCTACCGTGTCTCCTGATTTATTTCTTTTCTCAATGCGTTTATAATTTAAATTTAATAAAAAAATAAATTGCATTGCTTATTGTATAATAATAATAATAATAATAATAATAATAATAGAGAGAACAGGTAAGATTAAGCACATTCCAATGAGTTTAATATTAAGTTTAATATTAAATATTTTAAATATTAACACTTAAGTAATATCATAGTATCAAGTATAATATAGTATTTAATGCTTTTAATATAAAATAATGATAACAAATAAATATATTACAACCCATAATTATATTTACGTACATGATATGCCCGTACCGGCACGTAGTTCACAACTGAAAAATATAATTAATAAATGAATATAAGAAATATTATCAAGCACCATTTGATTTCCTTCAACTCAAAAATGGCATTTTATTTATCTCTTATAATTATTGTACATATTGTAATGTAAAGTTAAAAAATTTATGTAACTTATTTGTAAGTTTAAAAAGAAATATTACAACATGGTATAATTGTGATTACATTAGTTGAATAACATAACTATAATTGTATAATTCAAATAAATTTAAATTGAAAAGAATTGTATAATTACAATCAGTAATTTTTATCTTCTTGCGATGCTAGATTTGATGACTTGCGATGTTGCTGAATTAATTATTATTTTTTTAAGACAAATGTTTATACTTTTAACATTTGTATCATGATAATCATGATTGTTGCAATTGTCATGCAGCACTGAAAAAATATTATATTATTAATTTATTAACTTTCACGACGTACATTACAAGTTGCATTTTATTGAAATAGGATAAGCTGAAAGTTAAAAGCAGCACATTGTATGTAATGCTTAGTAATAATTTTCTTTATTTATAATCTTAACAGAAATTCTCTTGGAGTGTTTGTATCTTATGCAAATTATAATGTAGAAATAATGTAAAAAGGTAAGTGTAAATAGAAACCTTCCGAAGAAATTGGTTGCCAAAATAAAAGAGACCCATTCCAGTAAACTTTAACGGATGATGCATGTTTTGCAAAGTAAACTGATATATCTGCAAATTGTTTTTTAATTTTAAATCATTTGTTTTATCTTGTACTTTCTCTACCCTTAGAATATTTTTTACCTCTTTCTTAATATCAGAATATCGAGAAACTTTTGTCAATTGCAAATAAATTATTTTATCAATTTTATTAGCCTAAAATTTTTAATTTATTATTATTAAATATATATATTTTTTATTGAAAATTTATATTACCTTATTCTTTTACCTTTACACTGATATTTTCGCAGATGCAATTTATAATACAAAGTTTTACCAGAAATACAATAGCCCATAATAGTACATGGCACCATGCAATTATTGGTATTTCCGCTCTATCTTCTCGCATTAGCATTCCGTACAAATAATAACACGAAGATGTTAAGGTTAATAGGTAAGATGCCATTTGGAAAGTCATTTGCGTCCCAAACATTAGATTTAATTCGCGTGCAATGCGACATAATTCTAAATGAAGATGCCTGCCGAAAGATAAATTTTGTTATTAGAGGATAGAAATTGTTAGAATTAACGGGAAATGGTTTTTATAATTTATCGTTAACTTTTGTATTATTAGATCAATACTGATCAATAATTTGTGTAAATATATACGTGTATCTATTTACATTAAGCTCCACAATATGTTTGTAATTGTTAATGTATAAGAAGTGTGCCGATAACCGACTACGAATTTCTTCCATGCATCCTTCAAGCCGCACTTCTCTTGCACTAGTAAGCATTGTATATGCTCGTTCACTTTGTCAAATCTGCTACCAATATACCTGTATTGCAAAAGACATCTCGTAAATTCTAAAATCGTTGATCCTAATCTTTGAATGAAAAATTTTTATTATTAAATTATTTATTATTAAAATATAATATAATTTAATTAAGAAAGATTATATTTACAGTCACAGAATAATATATCATATTTTAGATAAAGTTGTGTTGAAATGTTCTCATTAAAAATGTTATAAACAATTGCATTTTACTTATTAAAAAATTGTAAGAACTGTGTGAGTACAAAGTACTTATACTAATTGTAAAAATACAGTTTGAAATATGCATTAATACTTTGATAAATGCGGATTTAATATATGGATAACGTAATAAATACAAACCACATGGAGATAACAAATGCCAAATCCACAAAGGTGTTGACATGACAAGTGTGATTATATAAGTGGGGTATGATGAATCCCCAAGAATTAGTTTCTTTTCTATGCAGCCACCACTTTGTATCGCAAAAATTGGTGGCGAGACTGAACACAAACCATCCAATCACTACTCGTTTTGACCACGTATGCATTTCTTGATAGATTTTCGGAGTTCCCAACTCTTCTAATGTATCGTCCACAACAGCAAGCTTTTTCATACATATTCGAAACCTCTGAAATAATATTAGGCAAGTATTTAAAAGATATTATTAAATTATTATATTTTTATAATAAGAAATATGTCTATGCAGAAATTAACGTAATAAAGAATAATTATTATATGAATTAAATATTGGTTTACATAACAAACATATATAATTATTTCAATATTATAACTTTTGACTAACATAATTAATATTAATCTAAATGTATAACATTTTTTATAAATTATGAAACACGAAATTCAACCTTCTCATAATATATACTAAGGATTACAGATGTAATTGTGGTAATGATGTTGATCTCCATAACGACGATACTAATGGTAGCCCGAAATATAGCTCTCAGTGATACAGAGCTCACCATATAGTAAAAAAGGTAGCCATAAACAAACCATATTGTTACAGAATATAAAATACTTAAATATATAATCCACCCATCTCCCGGTTTTAGTTCCTTTAAGGGATAGACACCTAAACCAATAATAAAGCCCGTAATAAAAAGAGGTCTGAGAGCTTGTTGGATCGCAGTCGTCATAGTCGTCATCGCCATTGCAATGCAACACTGAGCATCCGTTTAAACTTATTTTTCAGGATCGCAATGACATTGCATCGCAATTACATTAATTGGAAATTATAGTATTTTTTTAATAATTACGGTATGTAGCACTTATGCAAATTAAAATGATCGATCCGCTCTGATGAATGAATAATACGATTCATCATTAAACCATAAGATTGCAAACGAAATCATTAAATGATGTGATATTGATTAATTGTTTTATGTTTTTTTATACAAAACAAATATGTTTAATATTATTCTTATTAACATCATTTTACATGCATTACTAATCACTACATGAGAATTAAGAAATATATATGTTTTTTGTATTTTAAAATATTGTAACTAAGCAAATATGTTTAAGATGATAACTGTAATTTTTTTTAGTCAAAAAGTCATTATTAAGAAAAAAAAATCAATTTACAAGAATCAGTTAATAAAAAATTCATTGTACATACCTATTAAATTTGTAAACGTTAAAGAATCTTTCAAAAAATATAATCAATAAATGATAATACATTATATTAATATAATATAAAAAAATATTAATATATTAATGCTAATATAATTATTTGCAGTGCAAACAATTATTTAAATTTATTTTTGTTTATTAAATATAAATACAAATATTAAAGAAGAATTTAAGAGATAATAATATCACATATATCTTTTTCTACTTTTGATTGTAATATGTTAGATTATGCTTAATAAGATACTTATCAACAATGTCATTTATGGGAACAATATCTTTTTGCACCATAAAAAGAACAGCAGTGATCATCCAAACGAAGAACTGAAAGAAAATATCAAACAAAAATATCGTTAACGAAGTTTTTCAGCTTACAATAAATATAAGCTCAGTTTTTATACAGAGTGCCCGGTATTCAATGGTAAAGCGCTCGTGGGCAAGGCTGAATCGAAAAGTCCTCTACCAATTTGTGATCTTCGCAATAGTTCGAAGAATCGAGATAATTATTTAAAAAATAATTTACGCCAAGTATATAAAAAAGTATTGTACATTACATTTTTTCTAAATCAAAAATATTATTTTAACAAATAAAAGTTGTCCAAAAACAAATATAAGATCATACCAATTATCAATTAAGTATTTGATTAGACATAAAGACAAAAATATTTTATTCCAAACCAAAAATATTTTTTTAATAAACCATTTAAACCAAAAGTATATGGAGCAAAAGTTTAATGCCATTGTCTTTTCAAATAATTTTAAGTTTTATAAAACAGGCTTAAAGTGACTAAAATGACCAAATGATTTAGGAAAGATGTAATATACGATTCTTTTTTATATACTTGGCGTAAATTTTTTTAAAATTATTAGTATCTCGATAACTCTTGCGAAGATCGCAAAATAGTAGAAGACTATTCAATTCAGTTTAGCCCACTCTACCTATCCACGAGCGCTTTATCATTGAGTACCGGACACCCTGTATAAAGATATATAAATGTTACTAACCTTACGAATAAAGTCGTAGCCAAAATAAAACAGACCCAGTCCGCTAAACTTTAACGGTCGTAGTGATATTTGCAAAACAAATTGAGAAATCTGCATTACGTAATAATGTGATTTTTATTTAAATATTTTTCAACAAAGATTATTTAATTAGAATTGAGAGATGATATATGGTAAAAGAGCTCACCTCTTCGCGTACATCAACAAAACAGATAAGATTTGTTAATCTATGGATAACATCTGTAGTCTTTCGCGCCTGGAATAATATATAAATTATATATTTTATAATACCATTTAATTTAATTTTTTTTAATAAAGAAGTTTTTACACTTTTTATCTTAATTAAGATTGAAAAGAAGATTATTTTGGTAGTATTAACATATTTAAAAAATAAATAAATTTTCAGCTCTTTATTGTAAACAATAGTCAGAATAAGAGACCAAAGATGAGCAAAAAAAAAGGTGTCAGTTAATATTCAATATTACTATGTGATTTTTACATACATATTCTAGTTTCAACGAACTGCCGTTACTATCGAATTCAACGCAGCCTTGATCGAAACAGAACGATATTATCACGTTTATTAAATTGACAATCAATTTACTAAGTACTGATGCTCACGTCTAATAAATTTCCCCTCCCTCGCAACGCCAAATAAATGCTAACTTGCATCTATAGAATCCACTCTCACCATATCTGTAAAGAAATTTATTGGGAAAAAATATCACCTCACACACACACACACACATGTTCTCAGTCAGAAATTTATTTTCGCTCGTCTTTGGTCTCTTATCCTGACTATTGTTAATATATTTATTTTTATGTAATTATTATTCAAAATTTTTAATCTTTCAGAGAGATTGAGAAGATTATATTATATAGCTTTTTTATTTGTAAAAACAATTTTCCCAATCTATTGAAAGTATTTACCTTTGCGCTAACACTTTCGCATATATGATTTAGTGATATGAGCTTTATTAAAAATATGATAAACCATGTATTGCTACATAGCAGTACATTTAATATTACATTATCTTCATACATTATTTTATGGTGTAATATTGTGTAATATTCAAAATTAAACATCCCGATTAAGATAACAAAATATGATAGCATCTGCAGAGTCATTTGTATTCCAAAGAAGTTATTTATATCGCGAGCAGTTCGGCATAGTTCCAAATGAAGATGCCTAGAAATGTACATATATAAACAAATATATATTTAAAAAGAAATATTGATATTTATTTTTTATATTCTTTATGAGACATATACGCATTGTTTGTCTCTTAAACGAATTATAAAGTTAAATCTATCAAAAGATTGATTATGTCGTGAAACATTGAAAAAGTTATCTTTACATTATGTTACATAAATTAATTAGAATACATTTAAATTTACTGATTTTACTGTTTTTTATATCTACATATACAATTGACATAAAATTACTACAAATTAACACAAGAACATAAATTAGATATATTGCAACATAATAAATAAAATACATTTGATCAGTGAAATTATTTTTTATAAATTATCTCAGAAATTTTTCTGTCACATCAGCGCGTATCAATTTACATTATAGTCCATAACACACGCTGGCGATTCTCAGCGTTTCGAATATAGCTACTAACGAAAATAAACTTTTTCCATTTGCATCTTAACCCACAATCTTCTATTTCTGATAATTGTATGATGTGGTCGTTTATTTTATCCAGACTAAAACCGATGTGCCTGCAATTTAAAAAATGTTGAGGGAAAAATGTGGATAATTAAATTGTTTTATACAATATAACAGAGTAAAAACAAAGTGAAAAGTTATTTAATTATTTTTTTCTGTTTAAAATTTCATATTATTTTATATATGAATATTTTAGAAAAGTATGTGTATTACAAACTCCTGAATAAGCACATAGTGGAGAATAGATTATACGTATATAATAGTAGAAAAAAAAGCCAATTTGTAGTAACATTAATTTGAGAATTGTTAAATAATTACAACGAAATAAAATTTACGAACCTTAGAAGAAGCATAAACTTTATATCCATGATGGTATTAATTTGTAAACTATAATCCATAACCATAGGAATAATTATGGCCTTTGTATCATTATAATATTTTAAACACAATAAAGAATCGAAAATCCATGATATGCACGTCATGAACATCAACATAATCAAGGCCCATTTTATCAAATTTCTCAATCTGTGATATTCTTTAAGCATTCCGAGTTCTTCTAATGTATCATTCACAAGATCGAGTTTTTTTATACATATGTAGAATTTCTAAGAATAACAGTAGCACAGAAATATGGTATATGCAACTATGACAACTGTTTAAATAAATACAATATAACTCCGTAACGATATATTTTATAACATATTTTGTAAAGTAATGTAAATATAATAAAAAATTAAGATTTTATATTAAATTATCTGAAAGATAAATTGATATATTGAAACATTTACTAGCTAATTACAAGCTTTGGCTCTTGCAGAAATAAATTAACGTAGATTGAATCCGATGTACAAAATTTTATTTTATCACTTTTCAAATAAAAAAAAAATAAAGTTACTTTCAGTAAAAAGTGGTATTGTGTGTCATCTGTTACGTTTTAAATACCACTCTTATTATAGTATAAAGAAACTATACCTCGTGTTTGCGAACAGTGATAATTATGGATATCATTGTCACAAATAAATTTATTATTATCAAGAAGGAACTTAGAAAACTTTGTTTTGTCATAGGAAACTGAATTTGTATATAATAAAGCACACAGGCATAAACACTCCACACAATTAATATGTATACGATGCTCAAGCGATATCTCGGTTGACCCAGCGGATATCTGAGAATCCCGCAACCAAAGATAAATGTGACTAAAGAAAGAGGTTTTATAGCCTTTTCTGTATCACTCATGGTACCAATCGTGATTCGAAACGCTCCCAATTCCATGCACTAACTAAATTAAAATTGTACAGTTGAAATGCTTGCAGTGTGCAAACGCCATCATGAAATAGCATTTGATTATATCGTCGCATTAACACTTAAATTATTTAGCAACCGTAATTGAAATAATCGATTTGCACTTATGAAATATTTACACTTACTTTATAACTGCACCTTGCCTATTTTGTTACTCTTCACACACACACACGCGCGCGCGCACGCACGCGTGTTTATATGATTATATTTTGGAACAGGAAATGAAATATTGATAGAATTCTTATAGAATTTTATGATATTATTTTATTACTATTGATACATCAATTTGAGTGTCATTAAAACAGTTACGAAGAATAATTAATTTTGATAAATTTATGAATTATATGTTAGAAACGTATCTCAACAATGGATCAGCTTTGTTATTTTCTTGAAGAACAATTATACAAATATTTACAAATTGTTAGGGTATTTCCATTTGTCTCATAATAATTACAAAAGTTAAAATTGTTATACACAACTGAAACGAAATATATCAATTAACTTCTTTGTGTTGCATAAAAATTTTATTAAAATACATATGCGTATAAGTTATGGATTAAAAATGATCAAATAATTTGTAAAAAAGATATTAATAATTTTATATAAGGTGTGAAATCATTTTTAAAGCATATCTACACAAAGCAAAATAAAATAGTGAAAAAATTAAATGCATTGAACCTTTCGCAAAAATGAATTGCCAAAGTAGAAAAGACCCATTCCAGTAAATTTCAATTGATGGTATCTTATTTGTAAAGTAAACTGACAAATCTGTGGATAAATATATGTTATTCATGTTTACTTAATTTGTTGTATTTATTCTATTAATTATATGTTACTTATTATTACCTCTTTCCAAACATCTGCATATCGAAGAGCACTTGACAGTTCATGAATTATATTGTCAATTTTATTAGCCTAAAATTTGAAATTTATTAATACGAATTATACAATATATTTGTGAATTGTGTGACTTTACCTTTAAAGAAACACTTTCACATGTGTAATTTACAATATAGACTTTTAATAAAAATAAAAAGATCCACATGTTAACATCAAACCAGAAATATATTGACAATAATTCTCTATATTCTCTCATTATCAACTGGCATACTAAATGGCATAGTCCTGTTAAGTATAATAAACAGGATGTCATTTCGAAAGTCATTTGCATTCCAAATATCAAATTTAATTCACGAGCAAGACGACATAATTCTAAATGTAAGTGCCTGTTGAAAGATATATTTTTATTAGTGAAAGGATTATTATGCATGGCAATTTTATATAAATGCAAGATCTAAATAATTTTTATTATCTAAAATAGAATTTTGTCCAGTCGATGATGTCTTAAAAAGAATTCGATGAAATGAAAATATCAAATCTTTTCTATTTTAAGAAATGTTGTCTACACATTTCACATTATACAAAATAATTGGACATATGTAATTAAAAAAAAAACAAATTGTTTTCTTGCGCGGATAAGAAGCGAATCAGAGCTAACATATATGTGATTAAAGTATGCTCGAATAAAAATTTCCTAAATTTAAAGTAAACTACACTATAACTTTAAAAATATTAATAAAAATTAAATATTTATTTAAAATTTTAATAAAAATAATAAAAATATATTTAAAACACAAGCAATATAAAATGTATACAAATGACAAAGATAATCAAATTGAAATGAATACCTTATTTAGAAAAAAGGAACATTATCAAGGTATGTAGCCGATATAAGAAAAATAATAAAATCAAACGATTTGAATACGTAAAAGAAAAAGAACGTATTGATATAGATTTGCTTTACGATTTCGCATGCAGTTGCATACTCTTTTCCTTAATTATATCAATTTACATTAAAATCCACAATGTTTGTTTATAATTGTCCGTATACAAGGTGTATCGATGAAGAACAATCATAGGTTTTTTCCATGTACATCTCAGCCCATGTTCTTCTTTCACTAATAGGTTACGCATATGTTCGCTTACTTTGTCAAATCTGGTGCCAATGTACCTATTCAGACAATAAATTATAAAATATGTGACCTCGAACATTTAACATTTATATCTGACTTCTTTATAAAGTTTATGTAATGTGGGATCGCGCGTGATCGACTATTGATTATCGATTATTGGGGCGAACGCGTTTCGTGATACCATTAGCGCCGCTTCGGTCGCGCGCGAGGAAAAGACGGGGCAATCGCCGGAGCACGCTTAACGAAATAAGAGAGCAAGGGTCCTGAGTCCGCGAATGAGTGAACAAAGAGTGAGCATAGTGCGATTGTTTCGGTTTGTTGCAAATCGCGAGCCGCGAGTTACGAGAGAGTTACGAGTTACGAGTTAAAAGACAGAGTTAAAAGACTGTGCTTTATAAAGAACTTGCTATCCCGGTGTAATAAAACTGTTACGTTGACATTAAGAATACGAACTTTTGCTTGCCTTACGACTATTGTGCTATCTATTTTATTTATTGGAAACATATCTAATTATCACTTGAAATAGAACCTATTTTTTTATACTATATAAAATTCCACAGTAATTTTATTAGGGAAAATTACATTTTAAAATTTATGGAATAATGTCATTGTCAAATCACACATAAAGTTCCAAATTTTTTTACTTAAGATGGTAATATTTACATGTTAACGGTGTGATTAATTAACGATAAAATAATAAAACGTAGAGGAAAGTATTAAGAGATATGTTCCAAATATGAGATAGCGGGGGGAGGCTTCTATTAAATAATAGAACGTCATGTATTGGTTCCACCATGAATTTATTGCTTTTGGGATGTTTCTGTTAATAGATTTTACTCCCAGAGAGCAATAAGTTCATAGTGAAGTCAACACATGGTGCCTATTATTTAACAGAAGACTCGCTAGGTCTTATATTAGCGGACTCTCCTCTATATTATATTTTTATGGAGAATAAAATATAATTGCATAAACTAACATAAATTTATAATATGATTAAATATTGTAAATATTGTACAAACCATAAGATTGAGATAAATAATAAATCCACCAACGTATTAATATGAATAGTATAATTTGTCACGAAAGAAATGTATAAATACGAAAGATAGTTTCCAGTTAGCTTCTGCTGCCACGATATCGCCTCATAAAAGTTTATAAATTGTATGTATATGAGCCATCCTATTATCAATCTTTTGTTCCAAGTATGCATTTTCTGATATATTTTTGGAGCGCCTAATTCTTCCAAGGTATCGTCCACAATTGCAAGCTTCTTTAAACATATTGCAAATCTCTGAAACAATATTGGATAATAAGTTTGTAAAATAATTTGCTTATTTCTGAAACAATATGTCAGATAATGAAATCTGTGATGTAATTTTGAAATGCGAGTAATTATTTGTATAATATGGAATGTGGAACACTTGAAAATCTTAAAGTGCATTGTTTGAACTGTTAATTATTTTTTTGTGTAACACAGAGTTGTCATATCGGAAATTAATATAGGATCGTGAGATACCGTTAAAATGTCAGGCAGCTCGATCGGGATGCTCACTTCTTATATTAAAAGATACCGATAAAAACTACAAATTTTAACAATGTGCTCAGGTTTTACTGCAATTCTCAAATCTTGAGATTAGGCTTTACTTTAATTAAAATATTTTTTTCAATTTATTAAAAAATAGATAAAATATGTTTATATCATAAATTTTATTTTTATTTATCACTTTTTTTGAAGGAGAAGCACTTGGCATTTTTCGTAGAAATCTTATTCTTTTGCTATCATGTCTCTCTCTCTATCTCTCTCTGGCACTCAACAATTAAATTTATTAAAAATAATAAATATATACGTGTGATATATGAACATACACATACAATATATAATTTATAAAAATATAATACAGCTTGTATATAAATACACTGAAACGGAATTATATACCTTTCGATAATAATGACACGTAATCGTACACACAATCGAAGTGAATATGTTCATCTCAAGTGTGACTATAATAAATATGGTTCGACCTAATAATTTGATAGTAAAAATAGTTATCATATAATAAAGGATGTAGAAGTAAGCGAACCAGATTGTCAGAGAATATAGAATACTTAAGTTTATAGTCCATCGAATTTTCGACTGTTTTCTAGGGTAAAAATCTAAACCAACAATCAAGCACATAACAAAAATAGGATGCAACATTTGTTGGACAGTGATCACCATGATTATCGTTTTGAAAGTTTACACTGACTGTCTGTTTAAGCTCATTTAGCACGAGTATAGCGGTAATTTCCAGCAATAGTAGATCTTCGTAATTGCAATATATGATGCATTCAGCACTTATCCATATTAAAATGATCGATCCATTTTCAAATGCAATAGAAATAAGTCAATATTGAATCTTGCATGTAGCAAATAACTTAAACGATGTTTCTAATTTGTATGACATGTTTATATTCTACAATGCAAGTACATGTAATATATTTTCTAGCAATATTAATTTATATAATGCAATTATTATTGTGTACCATTATATTTTATGGTATATAATAAGACTAACAAGCAATGAGTCTATAATAATGAGGTAAAAATAGTGTCACATTTTAATGAAGAGAGGAACAGACATGGAAAAGGCATAATTGAAAAAGCTAAATAAAAGTTGTAAAAATTTATTTTAAATTTATATTACATTTAAATTAAAAGTAAAATATAAAAAGAGTAGATTACATTAATAAGTTAAAAGTATAGTCATAATATATATTATATATAATATATAATATAATTTTTATATTATTAGTGAATTTATACAGTATTTATTTAATATATTGAAATTCATTTGTCTGCTGCATCGTGATTGCATCAAGTTGCAATTATAGCATGTCGTAATCGTAGTTAAATTTACATCTATGTCTAGCACATTTACATGTATTAAAAGAAATTACATAAATCAAATTTATATTAACTATGTTCAACATTATGTATATATTTCCATATAATCGATCTGCTTATAATTACATACATGTATTAACGAACGAAAAGAGAATGTTGATAATTACACTCTATTTATTAATATCAATTTTATTTAAAACAATGTAATAATACAGTCACAAGGAAAACAAATAAACATTTTATAAATTAACAAGTGTTAAATTTAGAAAGATAAATTTACATTAAAGTTATGTACAATACATTTCTGATGAATAATATAATATTTTATTAATGTGAAATCTTCTAAGAGAATTTGTTAAAAGATTTATAGTAGGATTTTTAAGGTAGATAGTGCTGAGAAGTCAATAATTTCTAATCATTTTTATATATATTAATTTATACAATTGCTGACTTCTTCGTATTGCCTTTGCCAAAGAAACAATGCAACTCGATTTAGTCATTTACAAACATTAGTCATTAAAATTTAAAAAATTTGCGCACTGATAACAATATAACTTACATTTGTAAGCAAAATAATATATACTCTTGCAATTTACATCGATAAAATAAGAATATATATTTTGATTTGCAAAGAACAGTTTTAATATGTTATATCATGTTGCATCTCTTCGGGAAATTTGATTTTTAAAAACCCATGAACGCTTTAGATGCGCCCGGCATTTGGATTACAATAGTCACAAACGTCACAATTGTGATGATAAACTGAAAAAATCGTGTTGATTAATTTTAATGTAGGCAACAGTTTTGGTAAAAGATAAATAAAGATAATAATCTAGACTGGTTTTTTATATATTGATTTATGTGTTTGTTATGCAAAAAATAGTATCAAAATACAAGCAATAATGATAAATATTTAGTCTTATAATTTAGTGTACGATATAAAAATAAAAAGATTTAATAAAGTATAAAAATATTTTTCACAGAAACGAACTTTTCGCAAGAAGTCATTGCCAAAATTGAAGAGACCTAATGCAGACAATTTCAATGGTCGATGTATTATTTGCAATGTAAACTGGAAGATCTGCACACAGAGTGATTGTTATTGAAACGTAAACCATTTATACATCAGTTGCCTCTTATTATTGAAACTTATAAATATTTTACCTCGTCACGAATGTCAGCATATCGAAGAGAATGTGTTAATCGATGAATCATTTTATTCATTTCATTAGACTAAAAATAATAATTTGTCATAAATATATAAATAAATATATATATATATATTACATAAAGATAATAATAAATATATATGTATATATATTACGTAGGAATTACCTTAGCGCTAACACTTTCGCAAATATAATTTAAGGAGAATAGCCTGGCCACAAAAAATAGTACCAACAAATAAACGTGAATCCAATCTATTAGCGATGATATATATTTATCATGTGCTGTTATATGTATAAAAGTATAACGAAATAATCTTGTCAGATATACCAAATAAGCTACCATTTCCATAGTCATTTGTATTTCAAACATTGCGTTTAACTTGCGAGCAAGTTGACACAATTCTAAATGAAGATGCCTGTCGAAAACATATTTATTATTAATAATAGTATAAAAAATTGTGAAAAAATTGAAAATTATTTTCCAATTTAAACTGTATTATCAAAATTATATATATATCTAAACAAATCTCAAATTTCTGTCAAATCCTGAGTGTACTTTAATGCTTGATTCGATCAATAACTTATTTAAGTACATTCGTACACCGATTTACATTGTGGTCCAGAACACGCGCTTGTAATTACTAATACACAAGATGTATCGACGAGTGGGCGCTGCTATTTTTCTCCATGTATGTCTTACACTACGTTCCTCTTTTAACAACAAATATCTCATATGTTCATTTAGTTTGTCAAATCTGGTGCCAATGTACCTGCGAAGGAAAAATTCAGTACAGTTTCAAAATTTATATATATATATACCTATATATAT